TGTGCCTCACTGCTCATCAATGCACAGCTCAAAGTTCAAACTGCACACCTCTAGCAAATTCTGGTGACTGCAGTTTCTATGATTGCTTGAGTACCAAATTCCAGTGCACTGCTAATGATTATCCTCTTGCTTATGGCAAAAAGTATTGTCTGAGGTATGCCAGCAGGTCAAGTTGCTTCACAACAGGAGTAAGTGCACAGTTTATTGCTAATACCTCATTTAATTTACCGTATAGCTGGAAATATTTGCTGGAATTTAATTTTGCTGTTTGCTTGTTCATTATAAAAACGCACAATTTAATTCCGCAAAGCATTATCATTAATGGGTGCATCAACAGTACACGCCTACACCAGCAAAATTAAATTCCACAAACATTAAAATTAGCTATATGGGTACAAAATCGCAAAATATAATTCCCGCAAACTTTTCCAGCTATACGGTATCTATTATTATTACTTCAAACTATTTCTAATTGCATACCCTATATGGGCAGTGTATGGGCAATTTTGTTTTAGCCAATTGCTCCCTGTCAGCAATCTTGATTGTCAAAATCCACTTTGATTTAGGGCCGAACATGGATTACTAGTGTCCGCAGATGTTTAATGCAGTCCATTGTTAACAGTCCTCTCTATAGTAATGCAAATACTACTTGTGACCAGTTGAAGACATTTGCATTTCAAAGTCATTCTAATTGTCACACTAGCTATGGGTTCTGTACAAACATTTTTTTATCAAATCAATGTCAGAACCTTGTTTGTATTGGAAATGAAGTATTTACCGATAGTGACTATTGGAGCAAGCAAGCAATAGACCAGGTGAGGGAGTATTAGCTTGAGTCTATTATTATTGTTTTTTTATAGATTATAAAGACAACTACTTCATGCCCTTCCCAGATTTCTACATTCCTTCTTGATGCACAGAGTTGTAATTTGAATAGTCCTGACCATGCTCTTGTATCTGCTATACACAACTATTTAGGTAGATTTATCTATTATAGTATTTTGTAAATATACTATGGTACTCTTGTACAGATTGCAATTCAAGGGCTTTTGATTTTGTCATCATATTGGATGCATCTGGAAGTGTTGAGTATTCTAACTTTGAAATAATGAAAAATTTTGTTGCAAACATGCTGTCTAGCTTTACTATTGGACGAAATGGCACTCGTGTTGGCGTCATTCGTTATGCAAACAGTCCATCAATTGTTATCTCACTAGGTTCCTTTAATACTTATTCACAACTGGCTAGTGCTATTAGGGGTATATCATACACCGGGGGAAAAACAAACACTGCTGCAGCTTTGAATTTACTAACTACAGCATTTGCTACTGCTCGTGTTAGAGAAGCGTGTCCCTCGCGTAGCTGCTGTTTTTACTGATGGACAATCAGATAGTTATTCAGCAACAGTACAAGCTGCTCAAGCTATTCATGATGCTGGGA